GGGGGGGGGGGGGGGGGGGGGGGGGGGGGGAGGGGGCTGAGAAGAACCGCTATGGGGGTGGCAGTGGGGGGTTGGGGGGTGGGGGCCTGGGCAAGTTCTCCCTGGGAAACTCCCTTCAGAGCTAAGAGCTTCCCCATATCTCCCAGGAGGAAATTCTAAAGTTTCAAGTTTGTCAGCAGAACAGAAGGAAGAATCTCTCCTAAACGGGAAATAAAGACGTGTCAACATGCTTAAAAGGACGGTAGAAAAAAAAAGGAATACACAGAAGAGCCTAATAAAAAGAACAGTATGTGGCCCGGTGAAGTGCTAGGAAACAAGAGAAAGCCTTACCCATTGAAGAAGACTTGGGCCAGTTTGAAGAGTTCATGGCCCATCTCAACACTGGTTGGCCCGTGGCGAACCTCAACCACTCGGAGACTCTTCTGTAGATGGGCGGCTGACTTCTCCCAGTCCCCTGCAAAGAAAGGAAAATCTGGTTCCAGAAAAGAAGCACAGTCAACTGTGGATGAACATTTTCAGGGTAAGGAAAGCTAAATGGAAGTGAGAGCAGCCTCAGTTGAAAGACTAAGAGAGAACCAACCAGACGAGGCTAAGATCATGACCAAACACACAAGGCAGGCTCATTCCTTGGAGCGGAAGGTGAAGACACACACCTTACCTAAGGCAGCATAGGCCTGGGCCAGGTCATCCTCGATTTCTCCCACCATGCTGTGTTCTGCCAACAGGAAGCTCTCAGCATCGTGCCGGCATCCCAACAACAGCTGAATGGCTCGCTCTATCAATTCAAAGGAAAGTGGGCTCATTACAGACACAGACCCCGTCTTAGAAATGAGAACCCAGCCCTTAAATTCTCTATGGGCTGGGCTGAATGTGGAAACCCCACTTTGTCTCCTTGGGTTGTGATCAACCCACAATTTTTGTTCCAATAAAGCTGTTCTCTTATGTTTTCTCTTTCAATAGCAAAAGGTGCTGGGTGAGCCCTCCCCACATTTACTGTGGGTTTCCAACTTCAGTTTGAAGTGGAATGACTACATTCCATTTAAGGTCATTATTTCTCTTGACTCAAAAATCTAAGCTAAAGGTCAACTTTCATAAAAATAGGGTAAATAAATTCCCACGATGTCAAACTCTAAGGCAGAGTTTTCCAAGGTAATGAGGGGTTCCATCACTCCCTTTCTGGAAAAAGCAGGATACTTACACCCATTGGGCACATGCCCCAATGCCCTTTATTTTTCTTATTTTTATTTTTAAAAATATTTATTTATTTATTTTATTTTTGGCTTCCTCAGGTCTTAGTTGCCACACATGGGATCTTTTGTAGTGGTGCGTGGGCTCCAGAGCATGGGCTCAGTAGTTGTGGCGCTCGGGCTCTCTAGTTGTGGTGCACGGGCTCCAGAGTGCTTGGGCTCTGTAGCTGTGGCATGTGGGCTCTCTAGTTGTGGTGCGTGGGCTCAGTAGTTGTGGTGCACAGGCTTAGTTGCCCTGCGGCATGTGGGATCTTAGTTCCCTGACCAGGGATCAAACCTGTCTCCCCTGCGTTGGAAAGCGGATTCTTAACCACTGGACCACCAGGGAAGCCCCCCCCACTGCTCTTTAGAAGAGAGATGATGCTCTGATGAGGGCGGAACAATTTCTCTAGGAAATTAGGTCATGAGGCCCTCGAATTAAAATAAATGACACTGAACTTCTGGATATGCATAAAGATCACATATGTCAGAGATAACCCGTTAGTCTCTAACTAACTCTCTGACGCCTAAGAGAACAACAGCTTAAATCAGTTGGCCCTTTTTCAAGGACACCATGCAAACTGAGCTGGTAAGGGTTTGGTCTCATTGGCCTACAAAGCCATCTTGTGGCTGGCATGGGGATAATTAAATTCAATTCTTCAGTCTTTACAGAGTATCCCTGAATTCAAGGTGATCTCAAAATGAATAAAAGGGAAGGGGCTGGAGGACCAAAGCAGGGAGCCAGTCTCACCTAGTTCGCCATTTCTGAGAAGCTTCCGGGCCATCCCCACCTGCTGCTGAAGGTCCTGTAGCTCAGAGACTAGGTGATCTCTGCTGACTGATTCCGTACAAGATGTGCTGCCACAGCTCAGAACATCATCTCCCTGTGGAAGTCAGTTTTGTCTTTATTCCTGTACCAGAGTCCGCTAGCGACACTGCATGTGCTTACGTTATAGGATTGCTCCAGAGCTTCTGACCCTACGGGTGAAAGACTCCTGCAGTAACACACCATGACCAAGGGCAGAGACTGAATTTGGTTTGATGGCGGCAACTGCAATGAAAGCAGGAGCCGATCCCTGCTTGAGATTTACTTTTTGTAACCAAATTAAACTGGTACAGACCACAATTTCTTTCCATCTTGATAGCCCCTCTCTTATTTCTCTTTGGGGCTGGGACTTTGGATGACAGACACATTTCTAGTGGTTATGAAAAAGCCATAAGGAAACCAACAGAAAAAAGGTGCTGGGTGAGGCCTCCCCACATTTGTCCTCGGGCTTGTGACTTCAGCTTTCCAACACAACCAACTCCATGTTCTACTTACAGTTCTAAGACATTTGCTGTTTTTCAGATGCCAGAATCTGTGGCCCCATTTGGCAGTAGCAGCCTGACTTCTCAGGAGGATCCTTTCCCACCCTCCTGAAGCCAGGGCCTGGGGGCTGAGTGGGGAGCACGTGGCTCCGATCTGGCCCATTCCTCTAGCCCAAATGGCTGGGGGGAAACTGTGACTCTGATTTTCCTCCAGAACGCAGGTATCAGGTTGATAAAATACAGTAAGATTTTTGCCCAGATCTCTGTTAGAGTACATATGTTTTTATCCTTCTGGACCGGGGGAATCTGATGCTGGAGCTGCTAGCAGCCATCTGGTCACCACAGGAGGGAAGTCTGTCTGAGGTTGGGCTAAATAATACAGAAAATGGAGCTGAGGGAGGTGGAAAGAAAAATTAGGTCTTGGTGACATTATCTGAGCCCCTGGATCACGTTGTATTTGAAGTACCCCTACCCTGGGACTTCTTAGTGATTTACTTGAGCAAATAAATTCCCCGTCTCCCTGAACCCCAAATCAGTTTAGGTGGGATCTTCTGTTCTTTGCAAGAAAGAGACCACTAAATCCAACCTTTCCCTGTGGTTCCTGCAGGGGGGTAATCAATGTGTGGGGAAGATAGGCAAAAGGGAAGAGAGAGTACTGCTATCAGCACCTCTAAGTCCCAATGGCCTCCTCCTAAAGATTTAAGGCCTTTAGGCTGGATAACTGACCACCAGGAAAAGCAAAGAGAAGGGAGGGGAGAAAGATTCACCTGAAGGAGTGCTCTGCAACGGTGACAACAGAAGGCTTCCCGCCTGGGCCCCTGTGAGGGTCTCTGCTTCTCACGTTCACAAGGGGGACAGTTGCAGTCAAAGAAATATTGAGACCTCAGCTTCTGGCGCCTCTCGGCAACACCCATCCTGCTCTCGTGGGGCCCTGCAGAGACACCACGCTTGGCCAATATTTAAAGCAAGAGAGCATCAAGCACTACTTAAAAAACTTCAGCTTAGCGGAGGGTCTGGTCAATCACTCATCATGCGACAGGGACCTTTCACTCAAACATTCGTGGAACTAGATATAGAAAGAGGCTTCCAAGTTGCGGGGACAGGAAGAAAAAGAAACCAAGAAGTTGTTCCTGGCCTATTTTCAGAATAGGACATTTACAGGGATCAAGCAGGGAGTGTCTACACGATAGTGCAGATACAACAGGGCCTAGCGAGGAGGCTTTTCTTCCCCATAAGTATGCACTGCCTCTGCCAGGATGCAGACTCTGCACAGGTGAGGCACCTGCCCTGTGGCTTGCTCAGGCGAATTCACCCCGTCCTTTTCTGCTGGAGAAAGGTGGATAGGAGGGAGGATGGATGGCTCACCATAGCAGTGGAGAATCTCTTGCCCTTTTTTAATCTGCTGAGATGCCCGAACGGTGGCGACGGTGCTAATGAAGGACACGCTGGTATTGGGGCTGCACGAATGGTTCAGGAGGCTGATGACGGGGAACAGCCCCGTGGCAAGGCGCACCTGCCTGCTGTCGGTAATGAGGTTCTCTTCAGATCCTGAGAGTGCAAGAGGAAAAAGGGAAAAATGTGTCAGGACACTCGTCCTGGCCTCGCCCTCCATTCCTCAGATGATGAGCTGGGCAATCGGGCCTGAAGCGCGGCTGAGTCAGAGCTCCACAAGCTGGATCCGAGATAAATCAGACGGAGCATGACTCAGAGCAAACTCTGGTTCCCGGGAAGCAAAGCGAATGAGCACATGAAACGTCCACCAGAATCTTGGAACCTAACCACTGTGTCTCAATACCACAAAAAATCCAAAGATTAGAATTTATAGAGAGTAATAAAAAAAGAATTATCAGTAGGGAGCCTTCCAGATAGACAGTTTCATAATGTTCATGACAACATGGAAACCAGAGTACCAGATGAGGTTATTTCCTAAAGACTTTTATAGCCCAAGGGCTTCTGTTTAACTGGTCTTTGGTTGGTTAATGGAACAACTAATTACTATTCTAAACTAAATAGGCCTATCATATATTCTAAAAAATCAATATTTCTTATGCTCACCTCTTCGTTCTGCCCTTTGTCCCAACTTGATGGGGAATCAGTCAAGCAGTAGTTCTCACTGAAAAAACTCTTTGGACCACTTCTATTCCAGACAGTCTCATGTCCCTAACCGTCTCTTCTTTGAAGCACAATTAAACCAGCAATTTAACCACGTGATTGAAAATTAGGAAGCAAGGAAGAAAAAAGCCTCTAAGCAGTGAGGCTACTTTTGCACCAAGGCTCATGCACTTACATTCATATGTGAATTCTCTGTATTCCGCTGCTTCCTCGTATTTTAGCCACAGTTCGAACTGGCGTGGTTATTCAGTTTCTCAGCCCACCACAGTCCAGAAACAGAGAACTACTAAGAGGCAGGTTTTCTGACAATGGCAAAGGAGACGGGGACAGACCGGAGGAGGAGGCAGAAAACTTATACAAGAATAACAGCCTCAGGCAAACAAAAACACGAGCACCACTCTGAGCTTAACCAGAGGTTCTCAGACTGACACCACACTTGCATGGGTTTTCTGTCATAACTATCTGTGTCTCAGGAGGATGCATGTACAGATAACCTTGGGCATACAGAAAGGCTTAAATTGTGTTCAGCAGCCTTGGTGTAAGCATGAGGAGAGAGTGTTTCCGACAAAGCTGGTTGAAATACGAAAGATATTGGTACTTAGAGGGGAACTTTCAGTTTTCTGGAAAACTGATAAGCCATCAGATAATTGTGGTATCACCATATATGCCAGGAATCTCAATGCACCAATCACCAAATAATGCGGTCTAGGTACATATGAAATGAATAAAGAAAATACAAACCATCATGTGAAAATGTTCCAGAAAGGAAAACATTAACTATAAGGAATAATATTGTCTCTCTGCAGACGATTCTATTACCTGCTGCTGTGGAAGACAAGAATTAGAACAAACAAATAAAATTCGCCGGGAACCCAAACGACTCAATTTGAGTCAACAATTCTACAAACTGTACTGAAATCTTTCATTAGAGCTTCTCCTAAAAGCTTAACTGATTTTAGTGTCCCCTCTCCCCCACCCTTGTCCAATGGCTACCTTCTGGTACATGTACTAATGAGCAGCAGAAATGCTAAAAGGTAAGGAGGCAGCAGGAAGGAGCAGCACAGGGCACGAACAGTTTGTCCTCTGAATAATCAGGCTCCGCATAATTAAAAGTTGACTTGCATTCCCAACTACTGATAACTGGCAATCTATATTAGAAGAGCTGCTAAAATTTTCCCAGAGAAAATTATCACAATACACATGAGTAATGTCAGCTTCGTGAATTATTTATGGATTATCCTCTGACAGAAGTAGGCCCAGGAACAGAGTGGGGTGAGTATTTATGTCAGAGTTGAATTTCTCTCTAATTATCTCTACAAAATTAAGTATTGATTTTAAAAATTATTCAATATTTTGCATTAGTCATCTGTTAGCAGAGATTGTAGAAGGTGAAAATGTGTATGTACCTTTACCAAATTTAATGTGACATTTTGTGCACAAAACAAACAAAAGACAAAAAAAGAGGGCCTGAATATTTTACGAAAAGTGTACCTCGCTAATATTCTTAGTACATTTAGTAAAGAAAAAAAGATTCATTCACAATACTTTCAGAATATACCTATTCTGGTAGATATTTTACAAAACAAGAAAGTTTTGTATAAAAATAGTAATCAAGGACCCAGAGTGAAGGTGGATTCCTCGGTTGCTGAAGAGTGGAAGCAAACGGCAGTGAACTGATCTGAACCTCCATAGAACCTCATTAAGCCTCGTGAATCTAGATACATCACGAATATGCCATTCCCACTGAGAGAGATACACACACACCAAGGTCTGGAATGCCATCAGTGGCCAGTTCTATCCCTTAAAATAAGTACCAAAGAGAGATTTCTGAGGAACTTTGATTAAATAGGATTTATACAAAGATAGTAACATACACTTTTATAGGTTTTCGTCAAAGTCTATCCAAGTTAACACTTTAATCCTTCTTCTGTGCTACTAATGAAACAGCTGCTAATGAAATTCAATGAGAACATTAAACTGGGAGGTGTTGGAACCCCAAAGAAATAATAAAAAGGGATGAAACAAGGTTAGAAATATTAGCAGACTGAGACAAAATTAGACTGAATTAAAAAATGAAAGTGAACATTGCTGGTGGGTGTGTAACTGGTACAACTTTCCTGGAGGGCAATTTTGCAATATGTATCAAGTGCCTTAAAAATGTTCATGTGAAAAAATGCTCTTTTCATTTGAACTATTTTGTTTAAAGAAACTAATTAAATTAAAAAAGAAATACATGGCAGTGAGAAAAAAATTAAAAAATGGAAAATTATAGAGAAAATACAGTCATTTATAATCCTCTCAGTCAGCTATAAGATTTTGGTGCATTTTCTTACAGTCTTCTTTCTAGCCTTATATATGGATTTTTAACATAATTGGCAACATGGTGCACATGGTGATTTGTAAGTTCTTTCTTTTCTTTGCTTTCTTTTTTTTGCGGTACGTGGGCCTCTCACTGTTGTGGCCTCTCCCGTTGCGGAGCACAGGCTCCAGATGCGCAGGCTCAGTGGCCATGGCTCACGGGCCTAGCCACTCTGCGGCATGTGGGATCTTCCCGGACCGGGGCTCGAACCCGTGTCCCCTACATTGGCAGGCGGACTCCCAACCACTGCATCACCAGGGAAGCCCATCTTTTAAAAAATTATTATTTTTTATTTTATTCTTAAAATACATTTATTTATTTATTTATTTATTTTTGGCTGTGTTGGGTCTTTGTTGCTGTGCATGGGCTTTCTCTAGTTGCGGCGAGCGGGGGCTACTCTTCATTGCCGTGTGCGGGCTTCTCATTGTGGTGGTTTCTCTTGTTGTGGAGCACAGGCTCTAGGCACGTGGGCTTCAGTAGTTGTGGCATGCGGCCTCAGTAGCTGTGGCTCATGGGCTCTAGAGTACAGGCTCAGCATTTGTGGCACACGGGCTTAGTTGCTCCGCGGCATGTGGGATCTTCCTGGACCAGGGCTCGAACCTGTGTCCCCTGCATTGCCAGGCGGATTCTTAACCACTGCGCCACCAGGGAAGCCCTGTAAGTTATTTCTTTTTTACTTAATATATCATGGCCTTTTCTTTATACCCTAACCTGAAATGTATATTAAAATTCAAAAAAGGACTTCCCTGGTGGCGCAGTGGTTAAGAATCTGCCTGCCAATGCAGAGGAAACGGGTTCGATCCCTGCTCCAGGAAGATCCCAAATGCCCCAGAGCAACTAAGCCGGCGAACCACAACTACTGAGCACACATGCCACAACTACTGAAGCCCGCACACCTAGAGCCTGTGTTCTGCGAAGAGCAGCCACTGCAATGAGAAGCCTGCGCACCACCACGAAGAGTAGCCCCCACTCGCCACAACTAGAGAAAGCCCATGTGCAGCAAGGAAGACCCAACACAGTCAAAAATTTTAAAAAATTAAAAAATAAAAATGAGCTGCATAGTTGCTAGAAATGTTCTCTCATTTTGTCACTCACATTTTAATTTTTGTTTATGGGTATTTGGAGGCGGGGAGTGTTAAAATAACAACTATTTCATTTGCTTGCAATGCTGTGTGCCAGCAACTTTCCTTGGGCTCAGTTGAACATTTTTTCTGCTGGTCTTGCCTGGGATTACCCATATGATTGCAGTCATCTGGCACGTGGTCTTTTGTCCTCAGGGAGGCTAGCCCAGGCTTGTTCACAGTCCACGCTATCATTTTAAGGAGGTAACAATGGCAGCTGCAAGGTCTCTTTTAAGGCTTAGTCTCATTAAGTCACATAACATCACTTGTACTGCATTCCATTGGTCAAAGCAAGATTCAGCAGGGGAAATAGACTCTACCCCTTGATGTGAGAAAAATCAATGTCAAGTTGCAAAGGGGCAAACATACAGGGATGGGAGGAACTGTTGTGGTCATTTTTGCAAAGAGTCTTCCCCAGAGGCCTGGAAGTTCCCCTAGTCCTCTTATTATCCATATGAGAATACTGACCCACACAAAGGTTCAGTACCCTGAGCTAAGAGTAAGTGGTTAGACTGAGTGGAACAGGAACTCAGGTCTGCTGCCTCCTAGTCCAATGTTTTCATTCCTTCAAGGACCTCTTTCACCCACATTCTCTGTCTTCTTTTCTGATTATAGTGTTTTTGAAATTTGGTATTTAAGTTAAATCTAGCTATCTTCTAATTACCTAAATTTGGTATTATATACTTTAGAAAGCTTCTCTTACCACCTTAAAACTACGTAAAAGTTCATTTATCTTTTTCTAGATATTTTATGGTTTAATTTTAATTTATTAATTATTATTATTTAGCTGAGCCGCATGGCTTGTGGGATCTTAGCTCCGCAACCAGAGATTGAACCTGGGCCCTTGGCAGTGAAAGCTCGGAGAACCACCACTGGACTGCCAGGGAATTTCCTGAATTTTTAAATATTTAATTTTTAATGGCTTTTTAATGGAAGAAAGAATCTAATACTTTTGGGGGGCTATCACATTAGTGCCATACTGTTTTTAATTAGCGTAGCTCAATGCTGATATGAAATCTGATAGTACCAAGCCCCTTCAGTACTCTTTAAAACAAAAAGGATTTTTTAAAAATGTTTATTTATTTACTTACTTACTGATTTTAGCTGTACCAGGTCTTAGTTGCAGCATGTGGGATCTTTAGTTGTGGCAATGTAGGCTCTTAGTTGTGGCAGGCGGGCTTCTTAGCTGCGGCATGCAAACTCTTAGTTGTGGCATGCACGCGGGATCTAGTTCCCCGACCAGGGATCGAACCTGGGGCCCCTACACTGCGTGTGCAGAGTCTTGCCCACTGGACCACCAGGGAAGTCCCACAAAAAGGCTATTCTTACCCATTTATTTAAGATGAACTTTAGAATCATTGTCAAATTTTAAGAAAAATCCAACTGCGATTTTGTTGGAAACTGCATTAGACTGATTAGGTTAATGTGGGGAAATTGCCATTTTTACAGTGTTCCGTGTTTCCTTCTAGGCATCTGGCATGTCTCTGCATTTATCCGAGCCTTCTTTTATATCCCTCCAAATTAAAATATCCTTGCATTTCTGGAAGAAATCCTACTTGGTCATGTCTGATTGTTCCTTTAATAAACTGCTGGATGTGACATAGCAGTGATTTTTTTTTCAGGGTTTCTACATCCACATTCACATGTGAGACTGGTCTACAGTTTTTACTCTGGGCTTTGTAAAATGAGTGGGAAAGGGTTCTCGGTTCCTCCATGCCCTGGAACAGTTTATACTGTATAAAAACGATCTGTTCCTTGATATCTTTTCCTTTTATCTTTAAAAAATGTGGCTAAATATGTTCCTTAAAAGTTTTAAAGAACTCACATGAAAAAGAGTGGGTCTGGCTTGTTGTTGTTTTTTTTTTTTTTTGAGGTACGCGGGCCTCTCACTGTTGTGGCCTCTCGCGTTGCGGAGCACGGGCTCCGGACGCGCAGGCTCAGCGGCTATGGCTCATGGGCCCAGCCGCTCCACGGCATGTGGGATCTTCCCAGACCGGGGCACGAACCCGTGGTCCCCTGCATCGGCAGGCGGACTCTCAACCACTGCGCCACCAGGGAAGCCCCTGGCTTGTTTTTATGGAATATTTTGATAACTTTTTCAATTTCTTCTACAATTACTAGATTTCTAAAGTATTTTCCTCCCTCTGGAAAAATTTAGGCAATTTATATTTTTCCACAAGGTTGTTTATTTACAATTTTCAAATTCAGTAATCTAAAATTGTATTAAATATTTGCTGTAAATTTTAGAATGAATTCATATTATTGGCTGTATCCCCTTCATCGTTTCCAATTTTGTGGCGTTTTCGCCTAGGTTTCTTAATTAGATTTGCCAAATCTTTGTCTCTATCAGGAGTCTGTAAACTGTAGCCTTTGTGCCAAATCCTGCCTGGTGCCTCTTTTTGTACATATGTGGTCTAAGAATGGTTTTTACTTGTTTATTTTTGGCCACACCATGAGGCTTGTGGAATCTTAGTTCCCCAGTCAGGGACTGAACCTGGGCCCTCGGCAGTGAGAGCGTGGAGTCCTAACCACTGGACCATCAGGGAATTCCTGTTTTTACATGTTTAAGTGGTTGACAAAAGGTGAAAGGAATAATTCTCGTGACATGAAAAATTTTAGGAAATTCAACTTTCAGTGTCAATGATAAACTTTTATTGGAGTCCAGCCAGACTCATTCATATGTATACTTTCTACGGTTGCTTTCATGCTACAAGGGCAGTTGAGTAGTTGCAAAAGAGACCATACGGCCTACAAAGCCCCAAATATTTACTATGTGGCGCTTTACAGAAAAAGTTGGCCAAACCCTGGTCTATAGGACACAAGCGTTGGTGGATATATCTCTGAATCCCCTATTTTATTATGCTATCTTGGTTTCCAGATCCTTATTGTTAATATATTTGATCAAAGTCAGAGTGGTGTATTAAAGTTTCTTATAACTATGGAGTTTTTGCCAGTTTCTCCTTGTATACTCAGTCATTTTTGTTTTATAGACACAATCTCTATGTTCCTGAGAGCTAAGGTTGATGATATATTGCAGAAGTCTCCTTTACAAAAACAAAATGCCTTCTTTGTTTTACTATAATCGTACCTTGAGCCCTACTGTTTCACATTAATATTAATACCCTGATTTACTTGTGATTCCTGACATGTCTTGCCCACTTTGTGCTAGGTGTCACTTTTGTAAACAGAATATACTTGGATTTTAATCTTTTTGACCCATTCTGAAAGATTAATTTGAGAGTTTAGCCAATTTTTATTTACTATTATAGACTCATTTTTATCATCTCCCTATCTTTTGCTCTGTGAACTATTTTTTTAAATTTTTTTTGTTTTTTCCCTAGAATGAAGGGAAAGGTTTACAACCAATTTAAAATTTACTAGAATAAAGTTACCACCATGTGAATAACTGTTTTTAATTTTAAAAATATAGAACAGTTCAAAGAAAAAAGTAGCAATCACCCGTAGTTCCACTATCAGAATTCATCACTGTTAATTAAGATTTTGGTATTTTTACTTCTAGTGTTATTTTTTTCTATGTGTATATATATATATATATATATATATATATATATATATATTTATATATATATATATATATATATATATATATATTTATATATTTATTTATTTATTTAAAACATCATATAAATAAGAATAAATCACGCATAAAATATTAGAACCTCATAGATGAAGACAGAGTCTCCAATCCTCTTTCCGTCACTCCAGGTCTCCAGTATGATGCTACGTATCTATTTTTCTAGTCCTTTTTAGCCACAGAAAATACACGTATTTCTGGCTATACACAGTCTTCCTACCAAACTTCACTCTTAACAACTTGTGAAAAATTTTACTCAACACCTGCTATGCAAATAAAAAATTGACTGTAATGAAATCTCATGCACAGGGAGCAACAAATTTTAGGCTAAGATTCTCTGACTGTAAGAGGGAGGCCAACGAAGGAAGGTGGATGGAAAACACTTTTGTTTGTCCCTATCGCTCTGCCATCCTGCCTCAGGGATTCAGCCTGAGTTAGTGGTCACTGCTACTGTTTACCCAGAAAATAGTTTCCATAGTTTTTAGAGCTACTGACATTTACATCTTTTTTGTATGTTCTACTAAGTATTTTAGAGGCAAGACACAACAGAATCGAGAGTTGGCAGCTTTCTGCCGTATTATCTGGAAGCTCCATATACTATTTTTTATATTCAGAACACCAGAAAATGAAAAGAGTAGTTTTTAAAATGCCAGTGAATGTACCCTAGGGGAAACATAATTCTGGAAAAACACTCAACAGATACATATTTTAGAAGGTAGCAATGGCTCAAAGCAGCAAAAGCAGAGAAGAAAACGGAGACTAGCTTGCAGTGTGATTTTGTTGTATCATGGGATGAGGCCGGTGCTATTTTTGGATGTTCTATGCACTTCAGGATGCGGAATTGAGTCCTGCCCCAAAATACCTCTAGTGAAATACTCTACACTATATAACTTGGCGGCTGAATTAAAATTAAAGATAAAAATATATAAACAAAAGGTTGACAGAATTCTAGATTACCTAATATGACACGATCAGAAGAGTTAAGCATGTATATAGTTTAGTGAAGCCACATTTAATATTAATCTGCCTATAAATCCTAGGTGTAGATATGACCTAATTCCTCCCCTCCACAGGGTTAATTAGGAAATTGAGAAAAGTATAATGAGCTGATTGAATTGAAACACATTATCTGCTAAAATGGAGATCACACAATATTGGAAACACCATTTCTTTTCTAATAATAGTACCCATTGGCAGTACAGTCGGATTAGACATAGCACTCATGACGCTGGGCACGTGCAACCTCCCCATCTACCTTAACAGCCTCTTCTATAGGGTCTGGTTCAGGAAAGCAGGGCTAGGCTGGTCTTTGTCTAGAGGTGGCCCCCAGATTGTTGGCCCCCTGACCAGAAGCCAGCCCAAACACAGGCTGGCCAACAGCTTACAGCAGCATTGTATGAAAAGCTGTGATGGGCCAGATTCCTCTTTCGGAAATTTAAGACAGAAGAATGGGAGAAAACCTGGCAATTGAAAACAGAAGAGAGTAGCTGAGTCAAGGGAGTGAGTTAAGATTCTGATACCTTAACTACAGACCCTGCTCCTTCTGCAGTCTTGTTTATCCATTGTTTCAGCTTTCCTCCACAATGAGAAATTAATAGTCTAATAGGTTTTTTTTTTAAACAGTGTAGGTTTTTAAGATTTTTTTTTTTTGATGTGGACCATTTTTTTTTTTAAGTCTTTATTGAATTTGTTACAATACTGCTTCTGTTTTATGTTTTGGTTCCTTGGTCATGATGCCTGTGGGGTCTTAGCTCCCCGACCAGGGATTGAACCTGCACCCTCTGCATTGGAAGGCAAAGTCTCAACCGCTGGACTGCCAGGGAAGTGCCTCCCCCCCCCTTTTTTTTTTTTTTGGTAATAGGGTTTTAAAGTATTTTTACAAACAAACACATCAGCTTCACAACTCTGTAAAGTTAGGTGCGATTAAACTATCCATTTTACAAATGAGAAGGCTGAGGCAGAGTAGGATCAAAATAATTTGAGGTCACATAGCTTCTCAATGGCATAATCATAAGACAGCTGTTTGTTCCCTTAGGCCACTGATTTGTTTGAATGCTACTGTTCTCCTTTACAGTCCTTTCTACGCAAACATTAGCTACATCAAGAAGACTATTGTGAGGCAGAAAAAAAGAGTTTCCCTCTTACCTGTTTGCTGTATGGTTGTTATTGCCTGAGCATTACACTGTAGCTGTAACATGTGTCTCAGCATGGCCACTCCCCAAATTTTCAACTCTGGATACAACACAGGAGCCGCTGCTGCTTTCAGCTTAGACGATTTCAGACCTGTTGTGAAGGCCTGTAGACTGGCTGCTTCGAGCTGCCTGCACAGTGCAGAAACACTCAGTGCACAGAGGAATTTGTGCACAGGGCTATGGTTTCCGGTATGGGGTAAAAGGCTGAAGACAGCATTATAATTATTTTCGTATTTCCCATTAATATCACACCCAGGAATCGGGGTCTCAACTGTTTTGCCCTTTTTTTTACTCTCCCCTCCCAGGTCATAACTGAGTATTTGTGCCAGATTCTTGCTTTCAGGTAAACAGATGTCCCTGTTAGTAATCTCACCACAAAGCTTATTTATGACTCTGCCAGCTTCCTCAAATCTAGCTAAAAGAGTCGACCTCAGGGCAATGTGGCAAAAAACACCCAGTGTGAGAAGCAGCCCCCCTAGAGAACACTCTATACTATGGTAGAGATCCCAGGCCTGCTGCAAACACTCTTGGCTGCAATACTTGGCATAGCTGCATCCATCACAGGGAACTGGGGCCAAAGTGTGCTTCAAACATCGGTGACAGTAGAGGTCCCCATTGGTAGCTCTGGTATCCCACTTGCTCTCGAGGCCATGATGCCATAGTGGCATTTCTCCTGGGTTAAGGACACTCACAAAAGCATCCTCTTTCACCAGAAGCTCTCCTGGGAGAATATCTTTTGTGGCAACCAGATAGCGGCCTTTTAAAGGGTCTGTACATAAGCTGACAGATGATGATGTGCTGGAAATCTGTTCATTCTCTTCCCTTAGGTCCATATCCTCAAAGGCTTTGGTTAGAGCTGCTGGGGAGGTTTCTGTGAGATTCTCCTTTTCTTGTACCTTTACTTTCAGACGACAGAGGGTTCTCTGCAGAATCTGAAATTGGGAAGCTGCTAGGGTTGGTTTGGCAGCAAAGTTACTTTCAAGATCACTGATGGTCTGGCTTGCCTCGTGTGGTCTCCCCAGGGTCACCAGACACTCTGCCTTACGCAACAGCAACTTGGGTTGCAATCTTTCTGGATATCCATGCGTCTGTGCTCTGACGATGTCTTTAAGGCATGTCTGCAAACAGAAAGAAAATCCCGAAATGACCCTTGGTCCCTACTCTTGAATGTCCACTTGAAAGTCTTAACAAAAATCTACAAGTTAAGGATTATTAAAAATGGAGCAACTACAATCATGTGCTTATTTCTTTAAATCATATTCTACTGTGATCTTTTTTTTTTTATTTTGCGGTACGTGGGCCTCTCACTGTTGTGGCCTCTCCCATTGCAGAGCATAGGCTCCGGACGTGCAGGCTCAGCGGCCATGGCTCACGGGCCCAGCCGCTCTGCGGCATGTGGGATCTTCCCGGACCAGGGCACGAACCCGTGTCCCCTGCAACGGCAGGCGGACTCTCAACCACTGCGCCACCAGGGAAGCCCTACTGTGATCTTCTAATTGAATGATTAGAAACAGCTGCTGAAGATATTATGTTTAACTGTCATTAAATATTTCTGATTCTAAGGAAAAAAGTCTTACAGATAGAAGAAGCATAGTATGATGATTAAGAGGGCATCCCAGTACAGACTCTGCCTCTCGCTAGCTGTATGACCTTATGCAAATGAATTAATTTCTCAGTGTCTTAGTTTTCTCAACTGAAAAACAGGGACAATAACACCTCACAGGATAGAAATAAAAATGCAAATAAGGTAATATATCTAAAGTGTTAAAAAGATGCCTGGAACACAGTATGTGCTCAATACATGGGAATCATTATTGTAAGAAGTAACAATATAGGGAAGTTATAAAGGGCTAAATGTTTCACAAGGTCTTCCCACTGCTGTCTGTAGTAGCCCAGGCCTTTCTTGCTTAGGGCCTGGACTTAGATTCTTGCTCTTCTCTCTTAGTCCAAAGGGCTTAAGTGTGAACTTGCGGTGACACAAACAGTTCTTAACTCTAGGGTATACTTTAAATTTTTGTGGAATTCCAAAATGGATGTGCCCAAGTGGCATTTTAGAGTTTGTCCTTAGACCTCAATTTGGGGATAAGGAGGAAGCCACTCATCTGATGTCCCCCTACCCAACAGGCATTTCAGTGCAACTTTTACTTTCCCACTCAAAATTTATATTGCGGGTGAGACTTATTATTGCAGGGATATTCATCTACTTTTTTTTTTTAATTTTTAAAAAAATTTATTTATTTTTGGCTGTGTTGGGTCTTCGTTGCTGCGTGAGAGCTTTCTCTAGTTGCGGCGAGCGGGGGCTACTCTTCGTTGCGGCACGTGGGCTTCTCATTGCAGTGGCTTCTCTTGTTGCAGAGCATGGGCTCTAGGCACATGGGCTTCAGTAGTTGTGGCACGAGGGCTCAGCAGTTGTGGCTCATGGGCTCTAGAGCGCAGGCTCAGTAGTTGTGGCACACGGGCTCAGTTGAGCCGCGGCATGTGGGATCTTCCTGGACCAGGCCTTGAACCCGTGTCCCCTGCATTGGCAGGTGGATTCTTAACCACTGAGCCACCAGGGAAGTCCCTCATCTACTTATTAAAAAAAACCACCCTGAACAACAGTTTGCGAACACTTGGAACCTGAAGTATTATTAGCAACGTATCTCATAGCTGATCTTGACACTGAGCATTGCTGACCCACTGGATAGAGTCCACGGCCCTGGGGAATGTGCATGTCTCTTTCCTGCCAACCCACACTACCCCATGTAATCACCTGAGACAGGTGAAGTGAATCCGGAGAAAGAACAAGTTTGGGAGGTATCAATTTGCTTCCAATTCAACCAGTTCCAATTTCAGCTTTCTAATGTAGAAGCAGGGATGAAGGTCTAGTCCTCCAGGGAACCCCCCTGCAGATCCTCTCCAATCACGCCAGGCATCCTGATACTCACCTCATACTGACCCAGGTGGAAGAGGGCTGCAGAGCGATTGGCGTAACACAGTGAAATGTCCTCAGAGTTGGGCCTTGAATAAGATACTCCCTGCAGAACAATGAACCGGTTAAAGGTATACATGGAAACTAGCATCTTTAGAGTTTTTTTTTTTTTTTTTTTTCTCCCGGATAATAGGGGCTCTGCTATTAAAGACTGTATGAAATTGGATAAGTTACTGGATCTCCTTGTGCTTCACCTGCTTCATTTTTAACTACCTTAGAATAGAGGTGTGAAGATCAAGTGAGGAAATAAATAGGTAAAGCACTTTGAAGACAGCAGCTTCAGACACAGCTTCAGCCACAAACAGTACTAAAGGTAAATGAAAACTGAGGAGCATAACCCGGCACATAACGAAGTGTGAGTGAAACAAATAGAAATTCACAAATGAAGAAACACGAATGATACGTGGGAAACAATTCATATACAGATAGTCAAATACATGAAAATGAAAGCAGAAAAGGGCTACTTTTTTCTACCAACAAATTGGCAAGGATTAATAATAATCATAAAGGTGGGACTTCCCTGGTGGCGCAGTGGTTAAGAATCCGCCTGCCAATGCGGGGGACACGGGTTCGAGCCCTCGCCCGGGAAGATCCCACATGCTGTGGAGCAACTAAGCCTGTGCACCACAACTACTGAGCCTGCACTCTACAGCCCACGAGCCACAACTACTGAAGCCCGCGCGCCTAGTGCATGTGCTCTAGAACGAAGCACCCGCAATGAGAAGCCTGTGCACCCACCGAATAGTAGCCCCCGCTTGCTGCAGCTAGAGGAAGCGTGGGTGTAGCAACGAAGACCCAAACACAGCCAAAAAGAATTTTAAAAAATAAAAATAAAGGTGGCATCTCCAATCACTGGAGAAAAGATAGAGATTATTCAATAAAAGTATTGGGACAAGTAGCCACTGAGGAAAAATAAAGTTGGTTCTTGATATATGATAATAAAACATTAGGATAAATAACAAATGGATCAAAATTTTAATATAAAAATTGAAACTATAAGAGCACCAGAAGAAACTATATAATCTACAGTGATGTTGGAGTCAGAAATACCTTTCTAATTATGACACAGAACCCAGAAGTCATAAAAGGTTAATGAATTTGACCACATAAAAATAAAAAATTTATTTGTAGCAAAAATCCAATAAAAGCAATATCAAAAGACAACTGTTGAACTGGAAAAAATATCTGCAATTCCTATTACGGGCAAAGGGCTCATTTCTTTACTTTATGAACAGTTCCTACAGATCAATACGATGGCAACCAATAATTCAGTAGGAAAATAAGCAAATGATATGAACAATTCTAAGGGGAAATATAAATGGCTCTTAAACAAACGAAAAGATGCTCAACCTCATTCATAATCAGCAAAATGCAAATTAAAACTCTACTGAGATGCCATTTTTTACTTATCAGATTCGCAAAGAAGTAAAACTGATAGCATACTGAGTTGGCATAGGAGTGGGATAATGGTCATTCTCATACATTGCTAGTGGGAGTGTAAACTGGTCTCACAATTACGGAGGCAATTTAGCAATATATATCTCTTAATACATATATCTATATCTCCACTGACCCAGCAATTCCTCTTCTAGGGATCCTACAGATATAGTCCTTTATCCTATAGATATGTGCAAAATAACATACATGCAAAGTTTCTCATCACAGAATTGTCTGAAGTAACAAAAGATAGGAAAAAAGGTAAATAGTGATCTAAAGGACTCTAATTAAATAAATTACTATTATATCCATATAACAGAATATAAGTGGAAAAAGCACAGTGCTGAATTGTGTGTATAGAATGTTATTTATATAAAAAGAGTATGTGTGTGCAGGAGTGGGAGATTATTTGTATTTATTTATATACGCTGGAGTACCTCTGGAAAGATAGCTTTAACAGTGCTAGATTCTGGGGATGGGAAACGAGTGGCTGGGGGACAGAGGAAGTAGACTGCACTCTATACTCTTGCATCTTAAAAATTCTAACTATGTAAACACATTTCCTATTCCAAAATAAAAAGATAAAATAATGTTAATACCACCAAATAACCAATATTGCTTAGGATATAGAGAAATGAATATTCCCATACTCTGCTAGAAGGGATGTAACTAGTTTTTTTCCTGGAGAATGATTCAGCAACAAGGGGCAAAGGCCTTAAAAAAAAAAATACATTCAGTTGACCAAGCAATTGCACTTCTAGGAATTTATCCTTAGGAAATAGTCAGGTCTGTACAAATATTTACACAGAAAGATGCTCCTTGCAGCTTTATGATACCAAACACTCTGCCAACACTAGGTGTTAAATCAAGTATAGTCCTCTGTAATGGAACACTAAGCCAGCTGTAAAAAATCATGTTTTAGTGGAAAATTTAATAACATGAGAAAATGGTCACAATAAATTGTTGAGGGGAAAAAAAGCAGGTTACAAAACAGTACGTACAGTATTATCGCCACTTTGTACAAGAAAAACATATTTTCGGAGGAAAAAGTGGCTGGCTGGATATAAGCAAAAATGTTAACAGTGCTTATCACTGGTTATGGGATTTTTTCTTACATTTTATGCTTCTCTATATTTTCCAAGTAAACATATATTACACTTACAATCAGACAAAAAGAACAAATATTATTTTAAAAAAGAAAGAAAATAGCAGCTCTATGGAAAACTGCGAAGTACCACAATCAACAAAATACGAGTTTCATGAAATAGGAAGGTTCAATTTTTTTGTCTGATTTCACTTTTTAGTTTATTTTCCTTGAACAGCTTCCCCTGTGATCACATTTATGACACACATGCATACAGCTGAAGAAAGATTAGCTCTGAAAAAGAACTACTATTAAGCCATTTATCAGTGATCATTACATCTAATGGATTTTAGTTCTTCAGCAATCACTAATGCTTACATTATTCAGCATTACAAAGCAGGGCTTTTATCAATTTTAGAAGATGCTGTTGTAGGTCTGATAGTTTTTGGAAAACTAATTCCAAACTTTAAGCATAGGCCTGTTAAAGATGCAGAGAAGGGGGTACAGTCTTCAAATTCACACTCATTCTTTCAATATACAGGGTTCACAGACCTGGTTTAAGAGGCTGATATATTCTTGCTTTAAACCCATATTTATCTCTAAAAAATTATGGAAGGAAATCTCTCAGGGATCTTATTCCAGTTTCTACTCTGGAAGCAGGGCAAGAGCAACAGATTGTTAAAAGCCACTATTCCTCCTTGAAACCTAGTTCACTGATGGTTAGTGTAATTAATTTTAAATATTTGTTGACAACCTTCAAAATGCAGTTCAACTGGGCTGTGGCAACTGAGCTTATTTTCCTTCCTAATTTTACCTAAGTCATACTGGCTATAAGCTAACATGGTGGCCAACCAAAAATCCAGCTGTTCTCTAAATTGGGACTATCACACCAACAGCCTCATCAGTTATTCAGACAAAAAAGGCACACAATTCAGTAAGAGCTGACAGACACGGAGGAGGGAGGTCAAGGCATCCAACAAGACTTGCTACACTGTGTCTGAAGGAATATGAGAATAGAAGTTTCTTGATGGAATTCAGGACGTATAATACAAACTATCCTTTGTTTCAGAGTATGACCAAAAGCTGAGTTGTGCCAGTTTTCTTTTTCAAATCCAATCCAAAATTAATAGGCAAAGCTACTAGTGGCTACACAATTCACAATTCAGCAGTAACGGTTCTATCTTTTGAAGACATATGCATTGTTAAAGAGCTGAGACAGCCCCTCCTGCTGAGCTGTGCCGGGGTGGGGGGGGTGGGGGGGTGGGGGCCGGTGGTCTTACCTTAGAGTACAGCACTGTGGCTCCCATATAATCCCTCTTCTGAAATTTTCTGTTTCCTTCTTCTCTGTAGAAAAGGGGAGCGCTGGGGTCCTTTCCAACAAGGTAACCTCTAGAAAGCCTTTTTAAAAACATCTCATCCTCCGGTCTTCATGAAGAAAGAACCACCACCACAACAAAAAGCACAAATTTGTTATTTCTAGGAAAACTCCTAACCATTGCACTTGAAACAGGGGTGACTGCCTACAAAATACCGGGACAAAAGAGGTTGGATGTGTTATGTAATGTGACTGGGGGGAAAAATCTTTGGTCTCAGAGACATAGGGACTGGAATTTCTATTAGGACAGAATATGTTGTTTCTTCAGTTACTGGCCAATAAACCATTCCTTGGATAACGCATTATATAGAAGCTTGGGTGTGGAGAAGGACATAATACACAAGTCTTTGCACCAAGGTATACTCACCACCTAAACTTTGTGGAAAATACCTGAGTGAATGGACGACAGAGGGGAGGGAGGGAGAGACAAGGGAGGGGGAGGGAAGGCAGAGGTAAGGAGGAGGGGGAGGGAAGGAAGAGGAGGAAGAGACAGGATGAATCATAAAGTAAATGTAGTGAAATGTTAACATTTGGGGAATCTGAAAGAAGGGCATTGCACAACAATTCTTTATCCTATTCTTGCAAGTAAATCTGAAGTTATTTCAACCTGCAAAGTTTTTACAAACAAGTATATGAATTCTCTAATGTATAAATATACAAACATACACCTTTTTTCCAATAAAAAGAAATGGTATAGAATAACCTAGACTATACTCTTTGACTATACAATGCAATGAAGCAAAATATGAATAACATGGGAACTAAAAATTCTCTTAAGCAACTCCTGGGTCAGAGGGGAAATCAAAGACAAAACTGCAGAATGTTTAGAAAAGTGTTTTTCAAATTTTTGTTTACAAAGACCCACAAGAAGAAATACCCTTCAGGGGCTTCCCTGGTGGCGCAGTGGTTAAGAATCCGCCTGCCAAAGCAGGGGACACGGGTTCAAGCCCTGGTCTGGGAAGATCCCACATGCCGCAGAGCAACTAAGCCCGTGCGCCACAACTACTGAAGCCCACGCACCTAGAGCCCGTGCTCAGCAGCAAGAGAAGCCACCGCGATGAGAAACCGGTGCGCCATAACGAAGAGTAGCCCCGGCTCACAGCAAATAGAAAGCCCACGCGCAGCAACAAAGATCCAATGCAGCCAAAAATAAAGAATTAAAAACAAAAAAGGCAGTAATGGAACAACAACAAAAAAGAAATACCTTTCACGTTGTGATTCAGTAAGCTGCATCTGTGTACGTATATATGGAAATTTCACAAAACACTATTGATCTTTAAATTAATATCAAATATTTTATTAATATTTAAACACAATACAGAAAAAAATCTTAAAATAAATAACACAAAAAGAAAAATAAGGAAAGATTTTATTTAATTCAGAAGGTGTGCTTGCCTGTTCAAAATTTATTCTAGTCCGGAAAATATGAGGACAATACCCAATGAATATCTGGTACACCACAGATCCTATCCTTGTTCTGTTTGTTTTTATGTTGTTTTAAATTAGGTTAAACCTGAAAACCCTATTCAAACAAAGAAGTTGTGGTGAACAGTAATAATAGCAAAATTCTTCTTGCCTAACAATGGATATTCTTTAATCTTAATCCAAAATGATGACAAACTCAATGTTTTTGTAATTGTTCTTCTGTGTAATTAAGAACTAAGCTGCAATAATTCATTCTTCTAGTACCAGGTTTAACTCAGTAATTAAAGTTTTGAAAAGCTTTCTTTTTTTAATATTTCAAATTTTCTTCTGGAACGTTATGATAAAAAATTTGTGGAAGTGAGATGGGACAATTTTCTAATTAATTTTTTTATTGTGCTAAAATATTTAAATACTTGTCATTTTAACTAAAGTATATAGTTCAGTGGCATTAAGTACATTCACAATATTGTGCGATTGTCACCGCTATCCATTTCCAGAACTTTTTCACCAGCCCAAACTAGAACTCTGCACTCATTAAATGATAACTCTCTATTCCTCCCTCTCCCCAGCCCCTGATAACCTCTATTTCACTTTCTGTTTCTATGAATTTGTCTACTCTAGGTACTTCATGTAAGTGGAATGGTAAAGTATTCACCCTTTTATGTCTGGCTTGTTTCACTTAACATAATGTTTCCTAGGTTCATTCCTTTTTATAGCTGAGTAATATTCCATTATATGTATATATCACAGTTTATCCATTCGTCTGTTAATGGACATTTGGGCTATTTTCACTCTTGGCTATTACGAATACTGCTCTGAACATTGCTGTGCAAATAAATCTGTTTAAGTCCCGTTTTCAATTCTTTTGGGTATAAACCCAGAAGTAGGATTACTGGATTATATAGTAATTCTTTTTTTTTTAATTGGTGCCTTACTTGTCTTTTTAAAAAATTAATTAGTTAAATCTTTGGCAGCATTAGGTCTTCGTTGCTGCGTGCGGGCTTTCTCTGGTTGCAGCGAGCAGGGGCTACTCTTCGTTCTGGTGCGCGGGCTTCTCATTGCGGTGGCTTCTCTTGTTGCAGAGCATGGGCTTTAGGTTTGCAGGCTTCAGTAGTTGCAGCACGCAGGCTCAGTAGTTGTGGCTCACGGGCTCTAGAGCTCAGGCTCAGTAGTTGTGGCACACAGGCTTAGTTGCTCCGCGGCATGTGGGATCTTCCTGGACCAGGGCTCGAACCTCTGTCCCCTGCCTTGGCAGACGGATTCTCAACTGCACCACCAGGGAAGTCCCAGTAATTCTATTTCTAGTTATTTGAAGAACTGCCATACTGTTTTTCACAGTGGCTATACCATTTTACATTCCCACCAACAATGCACAAGGGCTCCAATTTCTCCACATCCTCACCAACACTTGTTATTTTCTGTTTTATTTTTTTGGATAGTAGCCATCTAATGAGTATGAGGATAATAAGGTATCTTGTTGTAGTTTGACTTGCATCTCCCTAATGATTAGTGATGTTAAGAGCATCTTTTCATTGCTTATTTCATGTGCTTATCTTCTTCGAAGAAATATCTATGCAAGTCCTTTGCCCATTTTTAAAAAAAATTTACTTATTTATTTTGGGCTGTGTTGGGTCTTTGTTGCTGCCCACGGGCTTTCTCTAGTTGCGGTGAGTGGGGGCTCTTTGCCCATTTTTAAACTGGGTTTTTTGTTGTTGTCGTTGAATCTTAGGAGTTCTTTATATGGTCTGGATATTAATCCCTTAGCAGATGTATGATTGGCAATATTTTCTCCCATTCTGTGGGTTGCCTATTTAACTCTGTTGATATTGTCACTTGATGCACTAAATATTTTACTTCTCATGAAGTCTGATTTGCCTATTTTTTTCTTTTGTTGCCTGTGCCTTTGGTGTCATAGCCAAGAAAAAGATGCCAAACCCAGTGTCATAAGCCTTTGGCTTATGTTTTCTTCTAAGAGTTTTATGGTTTTAGCTCTTAAGTTTAGGTCTTTGAGTTATTTTGAGTTAGCTTTTGCATATGGTGTAAGGTAAAGGTCCAACTTCATTCTTTGGCATGTAGAGTCTAACTAGGAAGCAGACAGAAAGAACCAAGTTCCTTCTTCTAGCCGTGCCTTCTCTTTCTAGAGCCCTAGAGAAGTAAAGCCTCTTATAAGGTCAATTTGCAAAGCAGGAAGTCCCAGCCCCAGCAGACTACAGAAGATCAGAGCTGAGAAACTGTAGCTTAATAACTCGCACACATTCACACATACACATTTTTTTTTCCTGAAAGTAAGTGCACTCATCATGGAAGTTCACCTCTAAATATTTCAGCATGCCTCTGCTAAGAATAAGGACATTCTCCTATATCTTGATATCACAATATGATTATCATGCCTAAAAAATTAACACTAGGGACTTGCCTGGTGGCACAGTGGTTGAGAATCCGTCTGCCAAGGCAGGGGACACAGGTTTGATCCCTGGTCCAGGAAGATCCCACATGCAGCGGAGCAACTAAGCCTGTGCGCCACAACTACTGAGCCTGTGCTCTAGAGCCCGTGAGCCACAACTACTGAGCCCACGTGCCAAAACTACTGGAGCCCACGCGCCTAAAGCCCAAGCTCTGTAACAAGAGAAATCACTGCAGTGAGAAGCCCGAGCACTGCAACAAAGAGTAGCCCCCGCCCGATGCAACTAGAGAAAGCCCACGTGCAGCAACGAAGACCCGATGCAACCAAATAAATTAATTAAATTAAATTAAAAAAAATAACACTAATTCAAATATCATTTAAAATTTCTCCATTATTCCTAAAATGTCTTTTCTTTCTTTTTCCTACCCCAACCTGATGTCAGATCAAGGTTCTAACGTACTGCATTTAGTTATTTCTCATTAGTTTCTTTTGAGACAGTCCCATAATCTTTTGTTTTTCATGATTAAGTTTTTTTGAAGACTCAAGGCCAGGAAAACGTCACATATTCTGGTTTTGTCTCATTGTTTCCTCATGATTAGGTTCAGGTCGAACAATTTTTGTCAAGAATATTAGTCCTTCGTTAAATCTGTATACTTGTTGTTTCAAACCAGGAGACACATGTCAGGCAGTCCCATCACTACTGGTGATGTTGGTTGGTCACTTGGTTAAAGTGGTGACTGCTGGATTTCTCTAATATAAAGATAACTTTCCCCTCCTAATAAGTAACATTAATAAGTAATCTATGGGGCCATACTTTGAGACCATGTGAATAACCTGTTTCCCAGTGATCTTTCTTCTAATGTTTTGAGCATCCATTGACGATTATTGCCAGAATCCCTTATTACACTGGGAGTTACAAAATGGTGATTTTCTAATTCTATCATTATTTCCAAACTTATTAATTAGCATTCTTCTGTAAAGACAAATGTTCCCCCCCTTTCTTCTTTTACTTATTTATGTATTTTTTTGAGTATCACCACGGACTTAAAAAAATTCATTCTTATAAACCATTATCATCATTATACTTTTTGATGCTCAGATTGTCCTAAATTTGGCCAATGGAAACCTCTTCAGACTGGCTCCTATGTTCTTTTTTTACTTAAATCTGTTAGTCTTTGAGCATTTCCTTGATTTCTGGCAAAACGAAGTATTCCATTTGAA